TCCACTAAGCCCACTCTTATTCAACATCGCCACAGCCGACATCACGAAAGTATGTCTACCCGCAACGTCACTATATATCTATGCTGACGATATGGCCCTAGGCTCGACGAATAAAAGTGACTTGCAGGAAACATTCAACCGACTAGTAACCTGGGCGGAACAAAACAGGTTCCAAATCAACCAAGAAAAGACAGTATGGATGGTATTCAGGAGAGGAGGAAGGAAGACTGTGGAAGACACAGTCTACTTCAAACAGGAACCATTGAAAGTCACTAATGCATTTAAGTAACTGGGAGTAACACTTCAGACTACAACGAAGTCCTACCGGATCCATATTAAAGAGAGAGCCATCGCAGCTACCAAAGGGATGCTAGAAATAAAAAATCTAAGACAATTTAGCTTTGAAACCACTGTAAGGCTATTCAAAGCTAAAATTTTCCCACTGCTAACCTATGGAATCAAAATCGCATGGCCCAACCTAAGTCTGAAAGACGTAAAATCACTGGAAAATGTCAAGGCACGATTCCTGAAAATTACTCTTGGAATTTCAAAATATGCGCCATCAAGACTGGCCTACAAGCTAGCAAAGGAAACGTCCCTGATGGAAGATCTGCGTTACAGACTACTGCTGCCATCTACGGAAAACTCGTCGCGACTACTTGAAGAGAGGAAGTGGAAAAGGGAAAATATATGGCTGGATTTCTACACCACAAGCACGATGACCGACCGGGCATGGACAGGACCGAACCAACCACTGCGTTACGCAATAACAAGCCTGGCAGTTCACGGCTACCACCACAAGATTTGTAAAACGAAACTCTACCACGAACCAGGACCCGAATGTGTATGTGAACTATGAGATCAACGATGCGACAGATACCACATAACAAAATGTAAAAACAGAACCAAATCCATCAATGAATATGGCAAGGATTAGGACGTACTAGATACAGGAAAACTTTCTTATGCACACCTGTGTGCTTTTCCTATATTATTAGTAAGACATAAAACAGATAGTTATACTGTATTTTACACAGTGACTGAATGGATTACTGATATTAACTTATGGATTTAGTCTACTAAAATGCAATCATCAGCTCATCAAACAATTTAATAATGCACAAAACTTGCAGAACTAAGTAACATAAACATGATAGTGACATTTTCACTGCATCAGATGTAAGGTTAAATTGCCATTAAAATATTGCCTGAGCCTTGTTAAAACAAGGGGAACCACATCAAGATGATGCTAACATTTATAGATCCATACATAACCATCCCATGGCAACCACAGTTTGGCAACTGTAGATTAAATTATTCATGGTTACCCATTTTCAAATAGTTTTGAAAACCATGGCACAGTATTTGGTTTTATCAGTGACTTTCATACGTGTTAGCACAGTCAGTATAATGACTGGCTATGGACTCGACGACCGGGATTCGATTCCCAATGGGGGGCAGAGGATTTTTTCTTTAGACTCTGGGTCCAGTCCGGCTCTGGGGCCCACCCAGTCTCCTATCCAATGGGTGATGCTGACCACTCACCCAATTAGTATACTGTCTTCCTCACAATCACCTATTTGTTTCCAACAGTGTCACCATATTATGTATAAAATATAAACAACAGATCATGATGAGATTTCAGGTTCTCTTGGCAACAAATATTTTTTCTGGGATATTCCACCATGCAGTAAGCACCTCTGAAACATCAGTCAACTTCTACTAGACTACATGGGGCAACATCCCAAAAGACAATCATCTTCATCAGATCATGATTACCACATACTCCCAATACTTAAAATTATGCCAGTATAGCAATCTGCATTTCATGTGGCGACATAATTTCAAGTCAATAAACAATGAAGGAACACTACCTGTTTCTTCCTGCCTTCTAGTCCCACCCATATACTAAAGGACCCAAAAATTATTTGTAGTTTTATTCATTCCTGTGGCATAAAATCAGTCCCATTACTACAGAATGTACTTAATACTATCAACATAGGAGTGAAAGAACCTTTTTGAAGTCATAAATGTATCAAGTGATGTGTCAGCTAATATGACTTACATAAAACATTGTTTGTAATGAGATGGGAAGAAAACAGAAATCAACAAAATGAGATGTGAAACAGTTGTGAATAAACTTTTCCATCCAGTTCAATTCACTATGAAGGGTCATTCAGGCAATGGCAAAACATGACAAACACTGTACATACAGAAAAATAACAAGGATTTAAACTCATACATAGTGATCTAACCAGTTTTGCAGTAGCAATACGAAAATAATTAAGATTGTTTCATACATTTCTGGTCTGTGCACACTTTCCGAATGTTGTAAGACTTGGCAAACAACCTTGAAATCCACTTTATGTGTAAATGTATTCTATTACATGTAATTTGGAGAAAAATAAATACCTACACCACATGAAACACTGCCTGGATAGAATATCGAGCAGAGGTATGGGGACTGTCAATTAATTACCACATCCTGAATAACTCTGGGTTCACCCAGCCTCATGGTATTCAGACATATGGAAAGATATACCTTTTATTTTTACTATACCTTCAGTGAAGCATATTTCTTCCTTCTCAATAAAACACTTTAAAAATAACCTGATAATTCTTCCCAACCTTATTTACCTA